AACATCGACCAGACTACACAGCGCAACAACCCAGAAGACAGAAATCTTCATACTCATCGCCCTGATGATGGAGGCAGTATGACCTCTGAAACGTTGGTTAACATCGACCAGACTACACAGCGCAACAACCCAGAAGACAGAAATCTTCATACTCATCGCTGTGAGAACCTCAAGTCTAACAGAGAATGTTTCCTATATTAAAGATTGAGACGAGCATGTGAAGGCCTAATACGTATAATGACTGTGTTAGACGTCATCAGACGTCATAAGTGTATAAACAGACTAATTATGATAAACACATGGAGTTTCACCGTCGTCTGGAACCTTTGAACTTCGCTAGCTGATTTAATGTCGTTGTTCGTTACTTAAATGAAATCTCACTGTTCTTTACCTATGGAACTCGTGTGATTTCATTCAATTTAGTAAAATGAGAGAGGGAGGTTGACCTAATAATGTGACCTTTAAACTTTTAATTTTTATTTTTATGATGAAAGAAAATTGAAACAAAAATGTGTGACTGACTGACAGCCACTGTTAAATAGTTTCCATTGAAAGAATGTTATTCAACACGTGGCAGCACCTGACTGTAAATATGAAGAAACACATGGTACAGTGGCCATGTTAGGTAACATATGATCCGAACATTGCATTAACATATTCCACAGGTCATCAGTAAAATACAAATGAGGACGCTTCAGAAGAAAGCTTAATAAGGAAAAGTTTAAATTATTCTGATTTTCACATCATATTTAGGTTGCGTTTGAAGCCATTTATGTAGATTACGTCCTTAGCTCCGTCTGGGGCGAGGGTGAAGAACGTAGACAGAAATAGATCCTTACTAACCCAACAAAACAATTAATATTTCTCAAAAGAGTCGTTAATTTGTAAGCGTTTGCAATGTTATTATTACTTAGTGTTCTGTCTGACGACAGGTCCATATGAACAGGATCCTTCCATCCTTTTCTCGGACTGGGACCTGTTCATATACGTTCTTGGCAGATGATCCAGAAGTGATTTGCCATTGCCTTCTTCTGTGTTATTTTGTGTTCTGTCTGACGACAGGTCCATATGACCAGGATCCTTCCATCCTTTTCTCGGACTGGGACTTGTTCATATACGTTCTTGGCAGATGATCCAGCAGTGGTTTGCCATTGCCTTCTTCTGTGTGTGCATGGAGTAATTGTTGGGATGCCACGGAGGAAAACTCCGTGTTGCCTAGACCACGGCCTTGCCCAACACAAGTTATAAATTCGGGCACCGCCGGGAATCGAACCCGAGACCCCAGGATTACAAGGCCATCGTTCTAACCGCTAGACCACCGTGGCGGTCCTACGAGGCTACACGGTGTTATAACCCGAGAAGTTCGAACTCCTTATTACTATTTCAGATTTTCCCAGGGCCTCTCCATTAGACTCACTTCAAAAGAAATGAACAAAATAACAAGTCGAATCCTCAATCTTTAAAAAAAACCAAAGTAGTTTTCATTACGAAGGGAACAGGTGCTGGACAGTAGAAAACCTTTTGAGAATAACAACTCACGCGGATTCCTTTTTACGCCTCTCAATTTGGGTCATAGAACCAGATTGTCATTTGAGTCGTCCAATCAGAGAAGAGGGTGGAGTCAGTATTTTCAAGGGGGTCTGTTTCGACTCCGCCTACCGACTCCGCCTCCGGTACCTGCCCACAAAGGGGGGGTGGAACCCATTCAGTGGGTAGTCTGGCCTAAGGAGCACGTGGCTGTGGACACAGCACAGAGAGAGAGTGCTCGTGAAATGGCTATGACCAGCCAAGGGTACGCGTTCCCGGCACCGCCCGGTATGGAAGGAGTACACTTCGGCGGCGATGCTCTGGGCCACCACCAAGGCGGTCACCCGACGATGGAACCTCACATCAAGAGACCGATGAACGCTTTCATGGTGTGGTCGCGTATCCAGAGACGCAAGATCGCCCTAGACAACCCTAAGATGCACAATTCTGAAATCTCAAAACGATTAGGCGCTGAGTGGAAGTTACTGACTGAGATGGAGAAGAGGCCGTTCATCGACGAGGCGAAGAGGTTACGAGCCATGCACATGAAGGAACACCCCGATTACAAGTACCGACCTAGAAGGAAACCCAAGACTCCTCTTCAGCAACACGGACAAATAGGCGGCTGCGCCAAAGCTTCTCCGGGGGTTCCTGTATGTGGGGCCGTGGCGTCGTCTGTCCCGGTGAGCTCCGGGTTCCCCAGCTTCGCCTTACCACCTTACTTCGCAGCGCCGACAGTTCCGACGCATCATTCCCTCGACCTCGGCGGCTACCCACCGCTGCCGCCTTATTTCGGCTCCGCGTTCGACGCCGTTCATCTGTCTAAGCTGGTAAGTCAGGCCGCCGCCGGAGAACACTCGACGCCCGCCACCAACAGGAGCGCCGCTGCGGTCGTCAGCTCGTTCTACTCGTCGCTGTACCCGCCGACCGCCCCCGGGATGGTTTCTCCAGCGTCAGGTGGTCAGACGAAGTCGTTTCAGCCGCCCCCACCGCATCTCAGTGCCCTCTTCCAACAGCCACCGCCTCAGTTCCTCTTCAGCGGTTCCACGACGCCGGGACAGCACAGTCCTGGATCGAGTCCAGGTGAGAGTACAGCATCCGCGCTAGATTTGGAGCAGCTCAGAAGACCTGTGTCTGTGATATTCTAGTCGAATTGTGAATGAACCCCGAGGAGCTTGTGTATCAAACGTACTTCATAAACTGTAAGTTGCTTGCTAAACAAACTTTGTTGAGATGAGAACTTGCCTGATTTTGATTCGGAAACAAATGACATGTTCAAAATTGCGGATGAAAGTCTATATAGACATCCAATCGGAGTGATTATCAATTTTATTCTACTCCTGAATGTTACCAAAGATGTTCTTACGTACAGTACCGATAAATAAATAAGTTATGTTAGAGATAATAGGTATGTTAGCGTATTATTGCAACAAGGAGCTTAATATTTTGCGTGTTTGCTCAATTCTCTTTCTTTCCCGCTCTGAAATAGTCTCTCGCATATTCAAAATGAATTGGAAATTTTAGACTGATTGAACCAAGTACCATCCGTAGTGCGGATTATATTATATACGTACAAAAGGTTAAGTCTAAAGTCTTTAAACCTTTCCAGCTTTAATACGCTTACATTTTAAAACCTGATCTGAGGTGGAAAATTATGTAGGCAATCTATACAGTACCATTTACTCCTTATGTGATTTTCTCTGTTCATATGGGCGTGCATTTTTTTATATAGTATTCGGGCTAATTAATTTGTTATATTCTCTTTCTGCCTCAGTTTAAATAATAAAATTCTTTCAGATAGTATTTTTTACTTCTTGTGTTTTAATTAAAGCTAAATTGCCAATGGCGTGACATCACAGTGTACCATGGGCCTACTTAATTTGTTATTTAAGCATGAAGGAGAAGTCCATTAGAGTTACATTTTACTGCGTGTGTTTTATTAACAAAGGTCTTAAAATTCACAACGTTCGAAGGATGGATCTTTATTCATTTAAAGTAAGACAGCAGGACGCCATCCTTCAAAACGGTGTGATATATATATATATATATATATATATCTGAACAAAGAAATAATATAACAGGCCTGCCATCGATAAAGACATTAAAAGAATGAATATTAACATAAATTTAAAAAATAAATGAAATTTAAATTTATATCTGTTATTAATGTCTGTATACTGGCTGTGTTTATTGCATAAAGACGAAATTCGCTTTAAACTTAAGGAGAAATCACCCAGTACGTAATTAAAAATGCACAGTTTCGGAGAATTTCATTCACTTTGTTTTCATTTCTATAAAGATACTACCAGACTGCATTTCAAAATTCTGTGCAATTTATATTTAATACACGTGTAAACAGATTTAAATACCACAGATCATAAATTATAAAAGCTAATTCTGACTATACTTGTAGCCTATGGACAACAGAGTCGCTCATTACTTTTAATTACTGTCTCAATATTGTAATTATAATTATGTGTTACGAAAGATATAATAATTTCGTCCACATTCATGAGAGACTAAGAAAATGAAACTTCAAATAAACAGATTATTCTGGTATTGAAACGCCCCGTCTTGTATCTGTGTTGACTAATGTTAGTAACTAGTATTTAAATTAAGGTCGCTGTATGTGACTGATGGCTGTAAGGACATCGTGAGTTTTTATTACCACTAAACTCAGAGAAATAGCATGCGTTTAGGCCTAATTTATATTCATAATAATTGTTTCTCTGTTCAGTATAGCCTAATGTTTAAACACTGTCATAATGATTATGAACACTGCGTTTGTCAATGATTAGTATCAGTACCTGTCCTCACATTTATTGTAGATCCAATATGTTAAAGCACTTCTATTGAGGTGTTTATACACTTATGTATCAGCATTAGTGTTATTGCTGTCTTGTGTACGCCATTCTCTATAATTTACCATATCCTCGTGTTATCAGACGTAATAAATAGCCAAATATCGCATTGTCATTTGAAAGTTTCTCAGATTACCATGAGGGACATTTATTCAAAAGTTATTCTACTGTTAGGAATCTCCTTCCTTGAATATTTCTGTTTAGGCATATTTATTTTTGAGATGATAATGTTGCGTCATATTGTGATGATTATAATTGTTTAATTTTGACCGTCTTATCACAATAAAATATTTTATTAAATATTAAAATATTATTACTATAATTAACATTTAATATTTAAAATATATTAAAATGATGCCCTTTCTATCGAAATGTTTGATTTACAATTGGAGCATTGTTAATTATAGTAATAATATTTTAATATTTAATAAAATATTTTATTGTGATAAGACGGTTAAAATTAAACAATCATATTTATTTTGTTATTATATGTAGTTTGCTTCAGATTTATATAAGACAGCGTAAACAAACATATATTTCAATACTGTTCTTTAGGCTTATAGATCTGTAGGCGTTTTAAAGCTGTGCATACAAACCGATTCATTCTCTTTGCTCCAAAAACATCTGAAAAACTTCGCGATTCTTATCTCATCTGTTGATTTACGTAACTTGAAAGTACCACATAAGTCTGTATTTTTGACTGTAGATAAAAGCCTATCGTAAAATATTTTCCACGTGTGTCAGATTCAAGTTGTTTCAAGAGAAATTTAAAAGAGTAGGCAACTTTAAAGTAATTTGTATATATTTCAATTACATTTGAGTATATATGCTTAATTAACTAGATGGCCTCAACTTATGGAGGTTATCTGCAAATATATTGAATAAATAATCGCGGACAGACGACGAAGGGTGGTCCTAAAGCTTGGGGGTTTGGCGTGGCGCTAACAACCTCTCACCGTAAAAAACTGTCTTGTTACGAAAAATTATCACACAGTAGCGGAGACCCTTTGTCTTCTCAGGAAAGTTCAAGAGAGGAAATTTTAATTAAGGAAATACAGCCTTTCATGCGGTACGAAAGGAGAAGTTTATTTACTGGGCTAAAATTACAATGTCCCTTCCACTGAGCAGATTAGATCGGATAGCACAATCATTTGATGACAAAAGTATATGAAGGAATGAGTAGATGACTGAATTTTTAATGATAACTGAGCCAGTGCCCAGTTTTGTATTAAGAGACTTTTAGGGAAACATTTAAATATATATATCATTAGTATATATAAATTTTCTCCAATGCAGGACCATCGAAGATTTTCTAGTGGTTGGTAGGCCTACTCGATTTAATTACGGGATTTTTCTGATGTTTGGTTTCTTTAATAGAAGTGAGCTTGATTGTACGTTGCCAATTCTATCGATCTCTAACATAGGCTTTCAGGTCAGAAGTATTTTAAGTGCCCTTCTAGGCTAAATGAATATTCAAACATAAATCGCTGACTCAGGAAATCTAGGCAGGGCGTTAAGACTTACATAACGATAAGTTATTCTGCCTAGGGTAAAGGATACTGTAATTTCTCTGCATTTTACAATAAGGTCTGTAAACTAAGTTAAGAATCCCCCAAAATTGTTTTAATTTACATAAGATTTTTAGACTAATTCGAAATTTTTTGGAACGATGTATTCCTCATAAACAAATTTCAATGCGATGGCTTATGTGGGTAATAGGTTTAATTGTCTTAACACGTATAAATAATAAGTTATTTATACCAGTGTTCTGTGACCTTAAGCACACAATAATTTCTCAAACACGTGACTGAACATTACAAAAATTCACCTCGCGATAAGGTGGTATGAAAATATGCATAGCCATGAACAACCACGTAACACATGTTGATAAAACAATGGATGATGAAAGAATGTGTAATACGACTTCTAAATATAACGTGAAAGATAATTACGTAATTTCTCATAAAAATTCGCGGCACATCTGAAACCTTGCAGCGAAACAATGTATATACTCACACGTTGGAGCCAAAAGGGGCAATATTTGATTTTTGGTAATTATAATTCGAAATACACACACTGGTTTATCATTAATAGTTTTATTCAAAATGTGCTATGTTTTGTTCTCGTATGCCTGCATTCAGAGTAATGATTTACATAGATACATACTTATATACTTCTGACCCAGACTGTACTATTTGCTTTCGCCGGAACCGAAAATGAGAAACGGTTGGTCCCGGAGTGATTTTAAATAAAATCTCGCTGTATCTTTAATTCGCAGACGTGTAAATACCACACAAAATCCACAGTTTATCAAAACTAATAAAGATTAAGCGAATTCTTAAATTCACTAAAAATGTTTAAATCTGTGTAATCAAATATCTAAATATTAGATGATATTAGCGTTATGTAAGACTTGAGGTTCTCACAGCGGTGAGTATGAAGATTTCCGTCTTCTGGGTTGTTGCGCTGTGTAGTCTGGTCGATGTTTACCAACGTTTCAGAGGTCATACTGCCTCCGTCATCAGAGTATGAAGATTTCCGTCTTCTGGGTTGTTGCGCTGTGTAGTCTGGTCGATGTTTACCAACGTTTCAGAGGTCATACTGCCTCCGTCATCAGAGTATGAAGATTTCCGTCTTCTGGGTTGTTGCGCTGTGTAGTCTGGTCGATGTTTACCAACGTTTCAGAGGTCATACTGCCTCCGTCATCAGAGTATGAAGATTTCCGTCTTCTGGGTTGTTGCGGTGTGTAGTCTGGTAGATGTTTACCAACGTTTCAGAAGACGGAAATCTTCATATTAGCGTTAGTTTTGAAGTTTTCTGAGATCGAAAACCAAATTCTAAGTCATCCCTCATGACCGAGAAGGCTCTTTACAATCTCCTGACGCTACTAGTTGCCTATAAAGCCACGAAAGCTGTATATCATAAGAGTCATTTATCTTATGCTTATTACGCGATTTTTTATGTTATTGAGTTTACTTAAATATTTGGATTATCTAAGTCCTAATACGAGGATGTTTAGAAATAGGGTGGGTAGAATTTGACTGGATTCGTGTGGCTGGGGATATGGTACAGTAAACAACATAATAAATCTTCATGTCCCATAAAAGGCTAGCTGAGTGACTGTTAGCTTCTCAAGAAGAACCCAGATTCATATATTAAACAGATCAAAGTTATTTTGAATTACTCTCATATTTAAAAAAAAGAACATGCTTAATTTCATTGTTTTTTATGTAGCATGATGTGATAAAACGAACTGTGATGAGTGTTTTACGGCGTACCAGTTACTGTGGAGTTTGTAGGTTTACAAAAACAGAAAACCTAATACTACTGTGGGCTGCAATTTTCTGTGTCCAAGTCAAAGTGTTCATATAATTACTGTAATGACGTTTTTGTTAATAAAATATCTTCTGTTCATAGTGCAGTGATTAGAAGAATGTGTTTTCTTATTAATCCTTTAGAACTGTCAGTCTAAGTTTAGATTGTGAGTTCTGATTTGTAGTTACGTGAGATTTTACCACTGATTCGGAAATGTGATGCACCTATTTTTATCTCAAAGATTTAGGTAATATGTTTTCTCTAACACAACCTACTAGTCTACACTCTGTCATAGCAATGAATACCACAATCTGTACCTTCACCGTCGCCAAAACTTCAAGTTTCTTGTAAAATTTGAGGTTTTCACAGCGGTGAGTATGAAGATTTCTGTCTTCTGGGTTGTTGCGCTGTGTAGTCTGGTCGATGTTTCCCAACGTTTCAGAGGTCATACTGCCTCCGTCATCAGAGTATGAAGATTTCCGTCTTCTGGGTTGTTGCGCTGTGTAGTCTGGTCGATGTTTCCCAACGTTTCAGAGGTCATACTGCCTCCGTCATCAGAGTATGAAGATTTCCGTCTTCTGGGTTGTTGCGCTGTGTAGTCTGGTCGATGTTTCCCAACGTTTCAGAGGTCATACTGCCTCCGTCATCAGAGTATGAAGATTTCCGTCTTCTGGGTTGTTGCGCTGTGTAGTCTGGTCGATGTTTCCCAACGTTTCAGAGGTCATACTGCCTCCGTCATCAGAGTATGAAGATTTCCGTCTTCTGGGTTGTTGCGCTGTGTAGTCTGGTCGATGTTTCCCAACGTTTCAGAGGTCATACTGCCTCCGTCATCAGAGTATGAAGATT